CTACTTACAAAAAAAAAAAGTCTTCTGTAAAACAGTTTGCTGGCAAGCAGCCTCAGATACCTCGTATTTACTGTCTCTTTACTGTATGGGACCAAGTGGAGTGACTGGCCTATAACATCTAGGTTTGTGTAAATACACTCTAGATGTTCACACAGAGATGAAATCTCTGACTATATCCTCATCTTTAAATGATGCCTGATTGTGTTTCCTACTCTGAAACACACCTTGATTTCAGTTGTAACAATTAGTAACTCCTTTAATACCATGTATTACTTCATGTTTTCTATTATTTGGGACATTATTATGTCATGTGAGGTGAACATGAGCTTCCCCCCACTTTAACCATGTGCTTCACCATATTTGGATTTTTATTTAAAAAGATAAAATCAGGTGCTAGAGTCAAGGCTTAAGCAATTGAGTGCCTGCCCAGCAAGCATGAAGCCCTGAGTTCAAACCCTAGCACTAGATAGATAGACAGATAGAGTAGGGATAGAAATTTTTAATATATTTTGGAGCACCTATGGTATTCATCTACCCTACTTACAATACTTTTACCAATTGGGGGTTAATTTTTTTACTTTATTATATATGTAAGCATCTTTTAGAATTTCTGCAGCTCTACTATTCCTTAACAGTTATTTAGTCATCTGGACTCCTTCACTAAAACAAGAAGCTAAACTTCCATCAAATGGCATCTCACTTGTCACAGCACCATATTCTTAGTATCTTCTTGCAGTACTACAGGACCACTTTTACCACATGACATACTATCACTATGTTTTGATAGGATTTTTATTTTTACTTTGCTCCTTTCGTATGGCAGAACTTTTGAGTACATTTTAGCAGCTGACTGGGTAATTGCACTCATATTAACCTCTGAATCACTCATTCTATCGAACTTTAAAGTTAGTCACATTCTCTGTACACTTAAAAAATTACTCTTGGGATTTTTTTATTGGAAACTAAATTAATAATTAAGATTAGTGGTATATCCAAACTGCCCTGACATTGACTTAATTTACCATAATATTTTCTGAAAATTAAACAAAATTAAGTCTATTTTTATTACTATGGATCTACACTAATTATTTTAATCAATCTGTACCATGAAAATAGCTAATTTCAATTTATGTTGACTATGAACCATTTATTAAAATCTTTCTACATTTACCATCTTAATGTAGTTGAGGTGAATGCTTATTTTCACTCATATCTCAAATAAAAACACTATGAATTTTAAGCAATTCTGACAGATTTCTACAAATTTTTATATGTAGTTACTAGCATTATATATATTTTTAAAAATTTTTTTGAGAGGACCTATGTAGTCCAATCTGACCTCACACCCTCACACTCACAATCATCCTGCCTCAGTCTTCTAATTGGTGGGACTACACGAAGGCACCACCACACCCTGCTCCCCACTAGCACAATGTTTTGATTTTTTCGTATCTGTCTAGAACTACTCTTTGATACAAAGCTATTCACAGAAGTCTTTACTCTCTTCCAAACTAAATCAGTATGTCACTTTCTATTTAGATACGTAATTATTTAAGATTATAGTCAGCAAAATGAAAATGGTACTATTTATCCTGTCTTAGAATCAATCCATTTCTCTAAATGCTCCAACGACTAAATAAATAACGTATATCCTTTGATGAAAACTAACTTTAACTCATTAAGGAAAAAAAAAAAAAAGCAAAACTCCAAAGTTCTTAAAATGTCCTAAGAAAACTATGCTCACAGTAATCTTTGCTATACAGTCTACTTCATCTCTCCCTTATTTGTTCCTCTCTAGCTACAATGGACTTCTAGACTGTGTCGGATATGGTCCTACCTCAAAAGTCTTACTTATTCCCTCTGCCTAGAATTTCTACATTCAAATGGCTTGCTCTCTTACTTCTTTTTATTCAAAATTCATTTATTTACTTATTTATTATTATTAATATGTTTCTGAGATTGGAAGTTCGGTTACAGCTAAGATTTTTTGTCTATTTTAGTTATGTTCGATGATACATCCTCATAGCCTATAATAGATCTTTGTAAATATCAGGTACTCAAAAACATCATTGGGTTGAATAAATGAGTTTAAAAGTACATGCTCTGAAGCATGTACCTCAGCTTTGGACTGCAGGTATGGTTCAAGCAATAGAGCATGGAAAGCAGGTGCCCTGAGTTCAAACCCTAGTCTAACCAAAAACAAACAAACAAAATCTCAGTTCCCTCCTCTTACTAATATCCCTTGGTCAACCTCATTAACTACACTGACCAGTTTCCTTCTTAATAAAATTAAGTATAAACAAAGTACTTCTGAAAATTACAGTGAAATATCTGTGAAAAGTAATCGTAAAATAAATGCCACCTAACTACAGTCTTTTTTGCTGTATATAAATTTCAATTCTTTATAACATGACACAAAGTACAGTTGGCCCTCCCTAATAGTGGATTCTGCACCAATAGATAGAACATATTCTGGGGGGGAGGGGGGCATATTAAACATACATAGACTTCTCTTTTCATTATTTCCTAAAAATACACTACAGAAATTATTTACACAGCATTTACAGTTTTAGCTATTAATAAATAATCCAAAGATAACTTAAAGCATATGGGAAGATGTGCATATATTATATGCAAATATATACCATTTTATATAAGGGACTTGGGTATCCACAGATTTTGTTATTGCAGGGAAAAGAGGTGTCCAAGAACTAATCCTCTGTGAATACTGAGGGATGAATGCATTACTACTTAGGAAGTACAAGTGAAATTCTTTATCTGTCTTTCATGTATTATACTTGGATTCTACTTTGGTGTGTATGTTTTCAGTCACTTTTTTGGTGGTATGGAACTTGAACTCAGAGCCTTACACTTACTAGGCAGGCATTCTACCACATAAACCATGTCACCAGCCCTTTAGTTTTTGTTTGTTTTTGCTATAATCTTTAGCATATACTTGCCAGGCTTATCTTCACCTAGTAATATATTTCAATCTTTTTCTGCACCATTTTATTTTAGGTATGTCTCTTACATAGTGTAAGGCTAGAAATGAAGGGCAAGGCATTCAGTACAATATATCATATACAATTCCATTCCACAAAAACACAAGTATGATTGACTCCTCAACAGCTTCCCTGTCCTCTGGCACATGCTCAGATTGGATTCTTCTGAGAGATGCTGGCTATTCATTCCTTAAACATCTATTTACTTTGCATACAGTGACTCACAGGTTAAGGTAGCTCTACAGGGAGAGCAATACACCAATGGGATTTCTTCTGGATGAGACCTGACTATCTCAGCATGTAGTCTCACAGCAGAAGTCTCCTGCACTACATATTAGTAAATACTACTATACATTTTTTTAAAGTTCTAAAGACACATCTGTATTTAGTATGAGGTTATGTCCTGATGAACTATAAACTGAAAATTTGTAAGCAAAAACTGCACTTAATACATCTACCTTACCGAACATTATAGCTTAGCAACACATGCCACTGTAGAGTATTAGCTGTTTACCCTATTGATTGGATTACTAGGAACTATGGCTTGCTGCCACCGCACAGAATCTCAGGAGAATATCATACTACATATGGCTAGCCTAAGAAAAGATCAAAACTCAAAATTCAAAGTATGGTTTCTATTGAACACACATTATTTTCATATCACTGTTAATAACTTCAGCCATCATAAATTGGGAACTATCTATATTTTTGTTTCTTTTTCCTTTAGATTCAACTTTTTTCCTAATTCATAGAATTTGATAGAAGGCCCAATCAATGTTACATAAACTATAAGAATGAAAATCTTTTCTTGTTCCCCTATCCAGAATTTTTTAATGCCCTCCAGCCAAAGACCAAGATAACACACCTGTAGTTTAGTCTCACTGCAAAAAATTAAAAAAAAGATAAATAATATATATATATACATACATATACATATATATGTATATATAATATATATAGCACAGAATAGACAAGAGGTATCTTATAAGACTTACAGGAGGAGTCTTCAAGAAAGTGGTATTTCACTCTGGATTGGATACTGTCATGTGGGATTAATTATGACTGAGGGACTGGGGATATATAGCTCAGTACTTGCCTAGCATGCAAGGGAGCCTATGTCTGCTTCCCAGCACTGCAAAATTTTTTTTCTTTTTAATGAAAAAAATAAAAGACAGAAGACTACAGTGAGGTTAAAATTGTAATGGGTAAAGAAGCAACAATACTCATATAGTCAAGATTTGGGTGTGTTTGGCATTTTGTGGGGTTTGCACAGTGACCCTGGTTTTTTATATGCTTAGACAAGTTTGTGAAGTAATCTTGTTTTTGTTTCATTTCACCAGAGTCACAGGATACCCTGTCTGAGGTTCATACTGTGAAGTTATGTTTGAAAGAATTTCAAGACCTAGACAAATGCCAAGCCAATTTCCAGATTTAGGGGTTGCTTTTCTCTTTCAAGTTATTAATAGTGTATTTCAATTTAAGGTTTTAAAATTTCTCCCCATATATTCCCTTAGGTCTTACTAAAATACCTCAGTCTGATGTTGTAATGGCTGAAAGAAATACAAACTAATCTATAACTTCGTATGTATTTTAAAAAATAGGCCAAATGCAAACATGAGCATGAAAATAATACATAATGTACAAACTAGTCACAAAAAAAAAAGCACAAAAGAAGAGAGGCTAGTTATCCAATTTTTGGGGGAAAAAAAAATAAAAGCTTTATAATCCAAAGAACTTTCTCTTCACGTCTCAAGTATTTCCTTCCTCTCAAGATCTGATATTATTGGTAACTTCATAACATTTTTTAAAAGTCTTATCATACAAGCAAATAAACAGGTGATTCTGCCAATTATGCATAAGAGCCATGGAAGTCCTAATCATTCGAAATAGCATGTCTTTATGACAAGGACATTTATTAAACTAATCTACAGTTAATTTACGACTTAGGTAATTATAATCAAGGTACCACTAAAACATACTGTTAAATATGTCATTTACCTGAGAACTGCCACTGAAACCTGGAGGTTGGCTGTATTCCGTAGAATCAATAATACTACTGCAAAATGAAGAAAGAAAAATGAGATTTCAGTATATACATTATTTTAGCAAAAGAAAAAGTAGATCTAAAATATATCATACATAAATCTAATATTTCTAATTTTTAGGCAAAGGAAACTTTTACTGCCAATCATTCAATTAGACATAAACATACTATCAGCAAATATTTAATCACCTCAAACATACACACCAAGAAAGAAGGTCAAATGGGAATAATCACAAGGCAGGTGTCTACACAGATATATTTATCTCTATTTCATTTTCAGATAGGTTAGAAATTGTATGGCACTTTTGGGAAAACAGAGTTTACAATACTGGGAAAAGAACACAAGCATACAAACAAGCTATATCTTCTGTACATTTTCCTACTTAAACCTTTAAATAAAAAACCTTTAGAAGCATAGAATATCTTTATCTTCCTCTCACTTACCATTTCATCACTACTCTCTCCCTCCCATCTTTAAGTAAATTAACTTACAAAAATTACCAACAGGTGAGCTCACTGGCTCACACTTGGGTTTTTTTCTTTTGTTTTATTGACCTCACACTTGCTAGGCAGAAGCTTCTACCACTTGAGCCACTCCACCAGGCCTCACATTTATAATTGTAACTACTCGGGAGGCAGAGTAATGGAAGATCTGTTTCAAAGCAGGCAATGAGTGAGAACCCACATCTCAACAAAAAAGCTGGCTGTAGTAGCGTATATCATCCCAGCCGTGCAGGAAAGCTTAAGTAGGAGGACTTAATCCAGGTTGGTCTAGGCAAAAAACAGAAGACTTTACCTGAAAAATAACTAAAAGCAACTAAAATAATTAGACTATAAACAACTAAAAATAAAGCAAATAAAGTTAGGGTTATGACTCAAGTGGAAGAGTGCCTGTCTAGAAAGAGAGAGGTCCTGCCCCTCATTCCATAAAAGTACTAATAATTGAAAATTGTGTAGCATAAACACAGTCATTTTCCAGGGAAAATAGTAGAGAATGGTGTTCTTGGGAAATGGGTTATAGAATTTAAGACTTTGCCTTTCCTTTTTCAATGCTTCTCAAGGACATTTGTGTTCCTCACACTTTGGTAGTCTTTCTTTATGTACTATTATATGGAAATGGATTACCCCAGTGCTGAAATTTGAAGACAGTTTGTCATACAGAATCGCTTTAGCCTTCATTCATGACAAACTCCAGAGTGGACATTAAGCTGCTCACTGAAGTGTCCTAAAGTCTATCCTTCATCGTGCCACTGAAATTTGCTGTCACTTATGCATCATCTGAAGTCATTTTAAGTTTCCAATAATGAAATATCCTTGATTTGATCATGAAAGAAATGAGTAACATCAGATTGTTTGGGGTCTTAAGTGTGTTTCAGTCGTGTGATTTCAGAAGGTGATCTGCATGCTCCCACCTCTTAGGAATTAGGGAGATGGTTTAATTTGAGTACTAGTAATGTGAATCTCTAGAAAAGTTAGTTATAAACAGGACAGCAAAGGAATTTGGTTTAGAGAGTCTCCTGGAGTAATATCCCACAATTGGGGTAGGAAACCTTGGGACTTTGTTTCAAAAATTAGCCTTTTAAAATTACACTTTTTTTTTAATGGATACAGAATGAACAAATTTGAAAAACCAAAAACACTTTTGGAATAGTGGATATAAAAAGTGGTAACTCACTGAAGTAGATCAAGTCTTGTATTTGAAAGCTGATGGAAAAATCAGTTTCAAATGACTCAAAAATGTCAAGTATTACTATGACTGTGGCTCAAGTGGTAAAACTCTTGAGCAGCAAGAACAAAGCCCTGAGTTTAATCCCTAATACCTTCCCCCAAAATGTCAAGTATTATAAGCTGGTATTTAATATGTACATAAATGTTGTATATGTTTTTAATTTTGTGAAACAGACTTCTAACAAAAAACTGTATTACATACCAATCATGATAATCTGACAGATATTTGCATCTTTTATATTATTCTTCACTATTTCTATAATACACAGCTGTCTATATTCTTGTCTACCCTAATGAAACTTAAGCAATTGAGAGCACTAATTAAATGGTTCACACTACACAAATAACAAAAAATTATTAATTACATGAGAGGTACTTTTAGGAGTTGAATTTCAATTATACCATATGCAGCTAAATAACTTGACTCTGGGAAAGTTATTAATCTTATTTGTCCAGAAGTTTCACCATCTATTAAGTGACAAAAGTACATGAGAGAGATGTGAGGTTTAAATGAGATGATATGTATACCTCCTCAGTACATTGCTAAAATATGATAAACATTCAACAGTTGTAGCTTGTATTATTAACATAATTAGCAAATAACATAAAACCTTACATTTTTCAAAAATATGTTAACTCATACAGAACTATCCTCACTGTGGTCTTTTGTGGGTTTTTTGTTTCTGTTGTTTAAAAAAAGCAACACTACATAGGTCTCAAGTCACTGTGTTCTTAACTACTTCTGCAGCAAAATTCAATTACACCGGAAAGAACCTTACTGACACTGTAAGAATCAATGTACTCTTCCAGTGAGTTTCTTCTGATGAAATATAACCAGTGCTCACCTTCCCTGTGGAGTCATGCACTTGTATGACAAGATCACATGCTATTCTCAGTCTCCTCCATCTAAGAACTGCTAAGGTTAAAAATAAGCACATACCATGCATTCAAAGATCTCTTTGTTTCTTTTATTAGTAAATCCAATTTGCTGGCATTTGTATAACATTAAAATAATTATGTAGGCACATATGTAGAGCCAAAGGAACAATGTCTTGCTTGATTTTCATGGTTTTAGATTCAGAATTCTTTGACTACCAGCCTAAAAAAATGATACTGGTATCACAGTATTTAGAGGGAGATAATATATTTAAAATATATCTTAAACAATGTGTTAAGAATATTGAAATTATAGGTTTTAATGGTATTTTATTAATAATGACAGAAAAGTTGGAGTGATCATTCTATAATCCTACTTCATATTCTCTAATCAAAGAGTGGGGAAATCTTACACTAGCCTGCTTCATAAACAAATTTAAGAGAGAAAAACATCAACTGCATATGAGACAGAATCATTACGTGCTTCTAGAAATATCAATGAAGTTAAATTTAATAAGGATGCCAAAAAAACAAAGGAGAAGAAATTATAGGCATGCCAACCAAAACTGAATTAGAAGTAATATACTTTAATTGAAATAGGAGAAACAAGACAATACTTTCTAATGTTCTTGCTGGTGATAATGAGAAGCTTAACTAAAAAACATAAATAAAAACAACTCAGGGCTGGGAGAGTGTAGCTCAGTGGTATTGTGTTTTGCCTAGCATGTGTGAGGACCTGGTTTGAATCCCTAGCACTGCTAATGCTAATAGTAATAATAATAAAATTTTTTAAAGAAATACTGTAGCTATTAATGAGAATTACAAAGAAAATTACACACACAACTACTCTGACCTAAATTACTTCCTTCCAGAGCCAAAGATGCACATATCATAATTAGAAAAGATGGCTAAGAAAATTCTGCATACAAAATGTTCCTAAAATGAACATACAGCTTAATCTTACATTCGTTTTTGGGGGGGAGGTACTAGTGTTTGAATGCTGGACTTCACTCTTCTTAGGCATGTGCTCTACCACTTGAATCACTCAGCCAGTCCTATAGTTTAACTTTAGATTGGACTTTTATTTGAAAAAGGATGACTTACATCTAAATTTTAAGAGCATGCGCCATTAGATAACTGTAATGTTTATATCTATAAGGTACACTGAGATTATTTAAGGCTAAACAAAAACACAATCAATATGGAATTTCTAAATATATACAGGAGTCAAACAGACCAAAATATGCCAGGTACACTCATCAAATAAGAATAATTGCTATGACTGAGATATATGTGCTTTTCTTTTTTTTAACTATAAAATTAAAGCTGACAAAAATAAGCTCCTACACTTAATAAACCATATTCGAGCTACAGGAAAGGTGCAGGGGGGAGAACAAAAACAAAAACTCTTTTCCTTTCTGATATTCTTGAAATTTATGGGCCCAAAGTTTGTTTCTCTGGCAGACTTTTTTTTTTTTTTTGTAATACTGAGGATTTAATTCAGGGGCCTGCCCTTACTAGGCAGACACTCTACCACTTGAGCAATACCCCACCCCTTCCAATATTTTTCAAAATATTGATATATTCTAATATAATTATCAAACCATTTTCCCCACAAAACATTAAATGGCAAGTAACTTGAAAATCATCTGACAAATTTTTAATAATTTTAGCTGAATTTCAAATTAATGGTAAATCTCATTTACTAACAAGCAAAATTCCTGTGGCTTCAGTTTTGGAGATACCTTCAAAGATAATAGAAATGTCTTCATGTTTTTTTTTTCCTTTTGTATTACACATGCCCTTTAACATTTGGTACAAGTAGTCAAATAAGGCATCCAAAACTAATGTGATTAGGGCTGGAAATGTAGCTCAAGTGGTAGAACACTTGCCTAACCAAGTCAAGGGCCCTGAGTTCAAACCCTATTACTGCAAAAAAAAAAAAAGAAAAATTGTGAGTAGCAGCAGCTAACATTTACTAAGTCCTTACTATGTGACAGCCATTATTCTCATTTCTACAAATGCACTGCCATATTTTATCAGTCAACTCAAGTACTTTATTCTACAAATAAGAAAAGTGAGGTGTACAGAAATTAATAAACTTGATTGTGGTCAAAGTGGTAATGAACTGTGGAGAAGCAATTTAAACTTATGTGGCACATTTCCAGGATCCTTACACTAAAACTGCCAAAATAACCTGTCTTCTTTTGTTGAAAAATCACTGCCTGTCATTTTGATCAGAAAGTTCACAGTAATGTCTTACTCTTAGCTCTGGGATAATGGATACAACTCTCTCATTCCCCAAGCCTTTACAGGATTTAGTAAAGATGCCCGGAATAGAGTCAGTTGGGCCACTGTATAAGAATAGGCAAATTATTTCTATCTCCTTGACTCAGTTTTCTAATCTG